TCTCTCTCTCTCTCTCTGTGTGTGTGTGTGTGTGTGTGTGTGGTGTGTTACATATTCATATGTAGTTGGGATGACCCTAACTCTGTTCCTCCTCACTCCCCACTCTCACCCAGTTGTGGAGATGCATGCCTGCATCAGCACTCCTGGTTTATGTGGTGCTAGGGACAGAACCCAGGGTTTGTGCATGCTAGGCAAGCACTGTGCTGAGCTACGTCCCCATCCTTGGCACATTTTCAAACAGGAACCCCAAACTCTCTAGAGCTGGGGCTGGGGCAGAAGCCAGGAGCAGCAGAAGGTCTGCAGACTGAAAGGATGAGGATAGAGTTCAGGTCTCCACCCTGCCCTGCCCACCTATTCAACCACAGCCACCAAGGCTTTACTCTCTGGTGTGAACCCCTTAACCTCAGAATCAGGGGGCTCTAATCCACAATAGCTCAGAGCTTACTCAGATCCAGCTTCCCATACTGCCTTCCTAATCCTTGATACTTAGAAACAAAACACAATTTTTTTTTTTTTTTTTTGAGACTGTCTTGCTATGTAGCCTAGGTTGGCCTTAACTTTTTAAGCAATCCTCCCATCTTGGCTTCCCAAGTGCTTGGATGTGCTGCCAGGTCTTGAGGCTTTTTTTTTTTTTTTCCTTCCTGACAGTGTTTTACTGTGTAGCCTGGCTAGAATCTTGCCTCTTAGATCCTTAGATTAAGCCTTGAGCATAAAGAGATCCACTTGCCTCTGCCTGCCAAGTTCTGGGATTAAAACTGCGTCACCATTCTTTTTTTTTTTTTTTTTTTTTTTAAAGAAGAGCATCTTTATTTTTTTTTAAAGATTTTATTTATTATGTATACAACATTCTGCTTCCATGTATATCTGCACACGAGAAGAGGGAACCAGATCTCATAACTGATGGTTGTGGGCCACCATGTGGTTGCTGGAAATTGAACTCAGGACCTCTGGAAGAACAGTCGGTGCTCTTAACCTCTGAGCCATCTCTCCAGCCCATGCGTCACCATTCTTTAGGACAACTTGAGAACTGATTTTCTCCCCACCCGACTGGATTCTGAGATCAAAGGGAGGTCATCAGGGGTGCAAGGGTTAGTACTTGAACATGATGAGTATCTTACTGGCCCCATTTTAGCTGTCGTGGAACTAGTTCTGTGGACCAGGCTGGCCTAGAACTCAGAGATCTGCCTGCCTCTGCCTTTTTTTTTTTTTTTTTTGGCTTTTAAATAAAAGAAAAACACTTGAAAAATTCTGTTTTCTGGAACTTGTAGAACAGAATGGTGGGCACTGGCTGCCCCTCCCTACAGATGGCTAAGGTGACACTGAGCTGGAGGCCTGGATTCCAGGGCTGAGGTGCCAGGCAGACAGTGACAGGAGTGCTGGGGGAGGGGAGTGTCAGGTTCTGTGAAGTCAATTCTAAGTCCCCTTCCCATGGTGTATGAGCACCCCAGTAGGTGGCAGCCTACTTCTGATTTGAGGGGAGGGCAGGAGAGGGCTCAGTGGTTAAGAGTTCACTGTCACTCTGCTCTTCCAGGAGACTCAAGTTTGGTTCCTAGCACCCACATTGGCAGCTCACAAGTGCCTGAGGATCTCATATCCTTTTCTGACCTCCATGGGCACTGCACTCATGTACACACACACACACACACACACATACACACACACACATATGATCCTATCTAAGGGGCAAGAGACCCAAGACACATCACAGGCTGGCTCATCTTGCCTCTTTTATTGTCTCCTTCCTCTCCAATGACAAGAATCTCTGCAGGCCCTCTCAGCCAGTCCAACAGAGCTATGCCTTCACAGCTGGTTCAAAGCTATGAGAAAATGGGATGCTCCCCCTCTGACAGTTGTCACACCCCAGGAGCAAACTGGGTTGGGTTTGTATGGAGTTGAGGGAGGGGACACTGAGCCCAGGCCTCACCCCTTGCCTCTGGCTCCATGCCTGAGCATTCCTCAGCCTTACCCGCCAGGGTGTCAGCAGGGAGGGACCCAGGCGCCAGGGCTGCAGAGGCACCAGGGCGGTGGTCCTGAAGGTGTAGTGTTATGGCTGGCCGTGAGGCCGTGGAGAAGTCACACTGCATGCACGAGTAACGGCCACGCGTGTGTTCCCACACGATGCGACTGGGGGCTGCATACCCTGCAGGTAGGCAGGCAGGCCATGGTCAGTCCTGGGTTTCACCACAGAGGACCTTTCTACCATGGATGGTGGATGTTGGTCAGGGCAGATTAGACTTTTTCCTATGTCCATCCCTCCTCTGCTTCCAGGGTCCAGGGAGGCTGCATCCTTTCTCCTGGGCTTGACTGCCCATCACTGAAGGCGCCAAGTTTGGCTCCCATCCCTGGACCTCCCCGAGAGGACCACTCATATGAACAAGGCACAAGTTTTTACACAGGAATACCGACGCAGATGAAGGCATAGGTGCCAGTCATTTTTAAGGTAAAAATCATGTATTTTAAAGGACAGACACTGCTACTTCTGAGCATTCAAAGGGCCTGCAGGGGGCAAAGGAATGAAGAAGGCCCCTCCACCCTACCCTGGTGGTCACCTGCACGCACCTGAGGGCGCATCGGGACCACCCTGAGGTCTTCTGGGACTTCCGGTAGCACCTGTAGGAAAGAGGCAGGTCAAGTTCGGAATAAGGGTGGGCCCATGAAGCTTTGCAGGCCACTGGCTCTCACACTCACCTTGACTCTTTTTCCAGATGGCTGTGCTAGAGGCTGGTGGTCCTGGAGCAGCAGCCAGGAACGGGCGCAGTCGCGGGGGACTGAGGCCAAAGGGCGCAGGGTTCAAGTAGGGAAGGAAGGGCCCAGAGGGGGCAGAGGTGAAAGGTTCAAGTAGTGGGAATGGCAGACTCAGGGCAGATGCAGGGTCGGACTCTGGGGGGCGCTCAGGCACAGGTGGCTCTTTGTCCAGGGCAGGGGGTTGTGGCGGGGCTGGGCTCTGAGCATGCTCTGCACAAACATGCAGATGCTTGAAGAGCGAGCGGTGAGTTCGGAAGCGCAGGAGGCAATTCTCACACCTGGGGGTAGGCACAGGACTGCACTGTCTCCTGGGCAACAGGAAGGGGTCTAGCCATGGCTACACAGGGACCAAGACGTAGGAAAGGCATCTAGGTTGTAATCTGACTCTGCACCCAAGCGAAGGAGCTTGCCCTACACACCCTCCCTTACTGAAGTCTCCATCCTTCTGGACCTTCCCAGCTCAGAGCCTCAAGCTTCGATTTTACTTAGGTGGCCAGTTTACAAAATAAGAAGTGCGGTAGGACTGGACAGAAGCACAGCATGTATACACTGCCATTCTAGCTGAGCCTTCAACCAGATTCACTGACTCCTATTCACAAGGGTCTTCCAGGCACTGCTGGGGCTGGTTTCCCCACCCACCCCTGCTCCACGCACACTAGGAAGGCCCCCTGGAATGAACAGAGGTCGGGACGTTCAGGGTCTCACTTGAAGTAGCGGTTGGGCTTGTAGTGCATCTTGCCGTGGGCTACCAGCTCCTGCATGCTGGGGAAACTCTCAGTGCAACTCAGGGCTGAGCATCGGAAGAGTTTGCCTAGTAGGGAAGAAGGGCGGGTAGGCAGTGGGGTGGTTAGGACTGACCCTGGGGAGCTCTGTCTGTCTTTCACCCTATCATGCCTTACTATTGCCAACCCTCATCCTACCTTCCAGTGACTGTGTAGGTGGGCAGTGGGTACGGAGATGCTGTGCCAGATCACGAATACTGGGGAAACTGAGGCAGCAGCCAGGGCTAGAGCAGGGTATCTGTTTCCCTGCAGGATAAATGGGTGTCATCAATTTTTCCTTACTGACGCCCCCATTCCCTTGAACAAGCCCCCCACCCTGGAAAAGCTGTATAGGTTTGGTTGCTACAGTTAACATAGACTTGATGCTCAGTAAATGGTGAGGAATCCTCGATGGGTTACAAGGTGATTCCTTATCCTGCATCTTAGTCCTATGGAAGGACCTAGAAAGGCCCCATCACAGATCACCTGGTGGTGGACGTCGTCTGGGCAACCTCAGGTCCTCACTGGTCCCCACACCTGTGCTGGTTGAGCCAGACTGGCAGCTGTCTGGGGCTGGGGAGGCAACCAGCTGCGGAGGTCCTCCACGGTCCCACGCTGATGGTACGGCTGTCGGGTTAGGGAAAAAGGGGGCGGCCCCAGCCACATCTGGAGACGCCACCTCCTTGTCGAGCTCACTGGAGCTGGACTCTGCAGTGGCTAGCATGTCCGGGCTGGGCTTGGACGGTTCCTCCTGGTGCAATAAGTGGATAGAATAAGGCTGGGATCAGAGTTTGTCTAGGACAGAGGAAAGTCCTTCCACTCCAAAGGTCCACTCCCACCAGGTATTACCCAGCCACCCCGCTTTCTGAGTCACCGGCAAAAGGAGTTAAGGGAGGTAAGGACAGACTGAGCTATTGTCTCCTAATTCCAGTTGCAGAAGGAGGTATATATCAGGGATTGTGCATAAAAGAGCATGATCATGGATATCTCCAACTTTGGCAGGAGAGAGGCACCAAGGGGCGGAGGCGTGGCGCGCGGGTCCCGCCTGGGAGCAACTTGGAAAACGCTGCAGGGCCTACAGTGGATTGTGTGACGATGGGGATTCTGGTCGACCTCGGAAGCGCTCGGGGCCAGGATGTGTGAAGTTCAGGGGCTGAACTCGAGCAGAGTGGGCGTGGCCCAAGCAAAGCCAGGCCTAAAGAAGGGGCAGAACGCGCGCGGTGACAGTCGGCACCGGGAGGGCGGGCGGGAGAGCGGGGACCCGGATGTGGGGGCGGGGTCGGCCGGAGGGGGTGCGCTCGGCAGGACCGCTCCTCGTCAATCCCTGCTACTCCTCCGCGCCCGCGTGCCGGGTGCCGCGCTCACCATCCTCCACTCAGTTCGACCTCTGCTCCCCGTGCCTTCGGTGGCTGCGGCTCCAGCAGGGGCGGCTTCCTCGGCGACGCGGGCGCTCGATCATCTCGGCGCCATTTTTTCCACTTCTCAGATCTCGCGAGATCTGGGGTGTGGCCTAATCCCGGGCACTTCTCTAGGAGGAGGGGATTGAGGCCAGAGTGCTGGCAGGTGAGGATTTGTGACTGCAAAGGAACTCTCTCCAGGCCTTAGCATTCTCATCTGCAAAACGGACACCGCCAGCCTTTCTCTGCATGCCCCGTAGCCAACTCTGGAAAGGCAAAAAGCAGATTTTTTTTTTTCTTTTTGTATTCCAGGTCAGGTTGGACCCAGAGTTTTCATGTATGGTAGGCAAGCACCCTACAGACTAAGCTACATCCTTAGCGATATACACATACGTATTCAAGTGAATGCATGTGCCGAGCACGTGAATGTGGAGGCCCAACGTACACACTGTCTTCCTCCGTGGTTCTCTGCTTTACTTACTGGGGCAACGGCATCTCTCCCCAAAGTTGGAGCTCACCGCTTCCCACTAGTCTAGCTTGCCAGAAGATTCTGTGTCCACCTCCCAAGTGTCCCAATAACAGGGAGTTGCTGTGCCTCCTACCCCGGGAATGCCAGAGATCCAAATTCTTCCTTATTTACACGAGTGCTGTGGGCCTGAGCCCTGTTCCCTCCTGTCTGCACAGAGCCATCTTTCTAGCAAGCTCCATATAGTTCAGGGCATCCAGTGTTCAGTAAGAATGAATCTGTGGGCCTGGAGTGATGGCTCAGCGGTTAAGAGAGCTGGCTGCTCTTCCAGAGGATGGGGGTCAATTCCCAGCACCCACATGTCAGCTCACAACTATCTGTAACTCCTGTTCCAGGGAGTTGACATCCTCACACATGTACATGTGGACAAAACAATGTACATGAAATACAAATAAATAAATATAAAAAAGAAAAGAATGAATATATTTGTTGGTGCCCATAAAGATGTCTCCGCTTCATCTTGGCTCAAGGTCAAAGAGTTCAAAACTGTCCTTACTAAGTCATAAGACCTAAAGGTCTAAGGGGTGGCTATTGTAGAATGTCTGATCTTGGTAGAGGGTATCTTATCTAAATAACAACAGACTTGGGCTGAGGTGTGTTCACTCTTGACCTTCAAGGCTGGATATTGAGTCTAAGGTGTGGTTGCCAAATGTTTGGAGGATTAAGGAAAGAAAGTCTGTTTGTTCCTTATACATGATGAAGAAATTTTTTGCCATGTACCTCTTTTGGTTGGAGTACTTAATGTTGAAGAATAAACTTGGGGTGTCCAGTATTCACTGTATTGCCCTCCCAACTCTATCCTGTGTCTGTCTTTTTCTTGGCGTCTTTACCTGTCGTTTCTCAATCCACACTTCCCCTCTCAGGTACCAACCAGACAAGTAGGCTGGATCCGACTGAAGCACCAGAAAGACAGGTTATGACAGATTGGTGCCACAACATGGAGCTACTACAGAGGAAGACAACATCTGTTGTCTTCGGGAAACACTCTAATTGTGGACCTTCGGGGTTTTTTTTTTTTTTTTTTTTTTTTGGTTTTTGGTTTTTGGTTTTTGGTTTTTCGAGACAGGGTTTCTCTGTGGCTTTTGGAGGCTGTCCTGGAACTAGCTCTTGTAGACCAGGCTGGACTCGAACTCATAGCGATCCCCCTGCCTCTACTTCCCAACTGTGCTGGGATTAAAGGCGTGCGCCACCAACGCCCGGTTGGACCTTCAGGTTTATCGAACAGGTAAATCCCATAAGTATTGAGGTGTGAACATGAATCCCACGTGCATTGGTGCAGTGAGGTTTCCTATCTATCCCACTTCCCTTAAGTGCATATTATGAGCCAGGAAGGGACTTAGTACTGCTCTTGGGAGACTGGAGTCAACCACTGGAAACAGAGTGGCAAGAAATCAACAAGAGCAGAGAAATGATCTTGGATCCATCCTGTGAGATAAGAAAATAAACAGAAGTGTGAGGAAATGCTGAGTCAGGGAAGCCTGTCTGAGGGGGTAGCTTGAGCTGTGTTTTGATGCCTGGGGAAGCAGGGAAGATATCTGTGGGAAGCTGGGACAGATACCCCCAGCTGGTGAGGAACTAGTTCCCCTTGGCGAGCAACAATGAGGAGCTCTCTGGAAACAGAATGGAGACATGGTGTGAAGATCAGAAAGAGAACTTGGGTGGGTCCTGTAGGTCGTGTGAGAGGTGGAAATGAAAGAAAACATGGTTTCTGATGTAGTCACTGGTAATTATTTGTCTTTCCATTTTCATGTGTGTGGTGCAATGTATATGTGTGTACATGTTTATGGAGGGTTTTCATGTGAGCACAGGCGCACATGTGTGTGGGGGTGCATGTGTACCTGCTTGCTTTCCCATGTACTGGAAGCTGGAAGGTACAGCCTCTCTTTCTGGTGATCATTTGCAGGATGGGCTTGGAGACAGATCTAAGTAAAACTTAGATCTTAGATCTCTAGACATTCACCCATTCAAGAGATGTTTATTGAGTCATAAGCAATTGTAGACTTTATATGCAGGATATTTTGAGGTAAACTAAGAGTCCGTATGTGCCACTATAGACAAAGAAGATGGTTAGTGTTAGACCCCCGAAAACTCAAGTATCCGGGGTCTCAGGCCAGGTTCGCGGTCACCCCAATCACCAGGCGGATTCGAGAGCTTGCTGCAAACTGCACGAGGCTTTATTGTAATTTAACGAACTAACCCCATGTTAGCTCGGGTCTTTCACCCACCCGCCATGGCGGACAGCTAGAAAAGACGGCTCCTTGGGTCTCCCAAAAGCTATTATAGAGCAGCGTAAGGGGAGTGTCTAGGGGTACGCACAGGCTTACGATTGGTGTGCTTCCAGGCTTGGAGGGCGTGCCCTGTGTTGATTGGTCAACTGGTTGTTATGGCCCACAGGCCATCCCAGGGTGATTGCTATGCTCTCTACGTCATTGTCGTGCGCTTGTCCGTAAAGCACACCCAGGGTCGTAAAGCATAGCGCCACCAGCTAACTTCTGATTGGTTCCTTGTCACAAGACAGGCATCTGACCTCTAAGTGACTAAGGTTCCTTGTCACGAGACAGGCATCTGACCTCTACGTGACCAAGGCAGGTTTATGGCAAGCACGTGTTCGGCTGTTATGGCTGCCAAAAGGGAAGCCGGTTCCTTCAGTTAGAAGACATTTAGAAGCTGAGAAAGATAGGGGCTGCAGAGATGGGTTAGAAGTTGAACTCTTGCAGAGGACCCTAGTTCACACAGCTGCTCACAAATATCTATAACTCCAGTTCCCAGGAGTTGGATGTTGTCTTCTGCTGGCACTTATACTCAAACAGATACACACATACATGTAAATAAATAATAAAATATATCTTTAAAAAACTAAAACTGAAACTGAGGAAGAGGGCTGGGGATGTCATTTAGTAGATTGCTTACCTAGCATGTACAAAGCCATAGGTTTGGTCTCTAGAACCACATAAACCATCTGTGTTAGTGCACTTGTTATCCCAGCACTGGAAGGAGGAGGCAGGAAGGTCAGGAGTTCAAGGTCATCTTCAGCTGTATACAGAATTCTTGTACCACAAGAGATCCTGTCTCAAAAAACTGAAACAAGGGCTGGAGAATTGGCTCAAAGGTTGAGAGCACTGACTGCTCTTCCAGAGTTCTTGAGTTCAATTCCCAGCAACCACGTGGTGGTTCAAGACCATCTATAGTAATGAGATGGGGTGCCCTCTTCTGGTGTGAAGGCATACATGCAGGCATAACACTATATACAATAAACAAACAATTCTTAAAAAAAAAGAAAACAATTCCAAAACAAAATTAAAACAAGCCATGGATGTTTAATCTTTAATCACAATATTTAGGAGGTAGAAGCAGTCTGATCTCTGTGAAAAGGCCAGCCTGCTTTACAAAAAAGTTCCAAGCTAGCCAGGGCTACATAGTGAGACCCTATCTCATAAACAAACAAACAAACAAACAAACAAGAAATCCCCAAACAACACCCCCAAACAATAACAACAAATTGAAGAGGAGGCCCAAGGATGCAGCACAGTGCCAGGATTGTCACTGTGCCCAGCCTTCTTTAGATTCTTTAGTATTGGGATCATAGATGTGTGTGTCATCTCCTGTGCCTAGTAAGATCTTATTTAAAAAGAACACCTGGGGGCTCGAGAGATGGCTCAACATACAAGCAAAACACTTGTATACATAAAATAAAATATAAAATGAACATGCTAATTTTTTGAAAACAAAAACAAGACAGGGTCTCCCTAGTATGCCAACATGCAGAGGATAAATGACTGTTGAATGCTTGGCTCTAAATGGCATCAATATGTCACATCTCTCCCTCCAGGGGTCATCTTCTCAGAAGAAATGTCACAAAGAGTGCAGGAGTCAGAGATGGTAGTTAACAGCAAGGAAACAGTTGAAGGGCCCAGTCCGTCACTAAGCCCCTGCTTTGGCAGCCATGACAGGCTGCAGAAAAGACCCAGCAAGACGTAGGCCCCTGACTCAGCAACATGTACTGAGCCCCCAGCCTTGCCCTAGTCACTAGGAAGCAACTACCAGATATCCTCCATGTGGCAAGGAACCAATCAGAAGTTAGCTGGCAGGCTCTGGATGTGCTTTACTGATAATAGTGGAATTCAGAGCACAGCAAATGCCCTGGGAGGGCCTCTAGGTACAGCAACCTTTCTGCAGCTGCAGCTCACCAATTAACTCAGGACAGGTTCCCCCAGCCCGGAAGTGCACCAATCCTGAGACTGTTGCTATGCAACTATCAGACCCCCAGCCACTCTCCTTGCTCTATCCCAGTATATGCCCTGCCCCACTGCTGCTTGGGGTCCCTTCTACTCCACCCGCTATATGGGTCAGACAGAGGACCTGAGTTAACTTGCAAATTAAAAAGACTCTTTGCGCTGGGCATTGGTGTCACACGCCTTTAATCCCAGCACTCGGGAGGCAGCAGCAGGCACATCTCTATGAGTTCGAGGCCAGTCTGGTCTGCAGAATGAGTGCCAGGGTAGGCTCCAAAGCTACACAGAGAAACCCTGTCTCGAAAAACAAACAAAACAAACAAACAAAAAGACTCTGCTTTTGCATCAGATCTGATCTCTTGGTGGTTTGGGGGGTTCAGAGTCTGGGCACAACACAGTGAACCCTGGGAGGCTGACCACACATCAAAGCAGACCCCATTTCTAAGAATGAAGGGGCAACACAAACTAGATTTGATGGAGAAATTAAAAAAAAAAGGAAGACAGAAAGAAATCTTCAGGTTTATTTGGAATGGATGGGAGGGCAGGGAGAGGGGTAGTTATGGGAGAAGCTGGGGGTGGTGGTGAATATGTTCAAATTCTCAAGTAGGTAGCCAAGGATAACTTTGAATTTTTCACCCTCCTGCCTCCACACCCAGAGTGCTGGCATTGTAGGTATTTACCACAACATTTACTGTATGCCATACTGGGGACCCAAACTGGAACTTTGTGTATTTAGACACACACATGGCAGGGGCTTGGGTCTCAGCACTGGGAACCCAACCTGGGGCTGTGTGTATTTAGCCAAGCACTTGACCTAGAGCCTTGGCCTCTTTTTGTTGCAAGGCTGTGAGGTGTGTTTGTGCTGGGGAAGGAAGGATGGGGTGAGGCCCAGGAAAGAACAGAGCCACAAGGAAAGGGGAGGAGGGGCCGGATGTAAGAAATTTTGTGAAAGAGGCCACAGGATGTGGGGGCCGAGGACTGGGTAGGTTTGAGGTGACAGCGGTTCATAGTCTGGAGCTGTCCCTAACCTAAATATGCAAAGTTGTCCTTCAGAATATGCCAAGCTCCACTTTTCCCCTCCAATCCCAGCACCCTGGCCAACACTTAACCATCCACTCTGCTTAGAAGCCTTACTTCCTGTAGGTGGGGTCTCCTCTGTGCCAGTGGAGCCAGGGGACTCTATCCCCAGAGTGCTAGGTGGGGAGAGCAATCTGCATGGTGAGTTTGAAGGAAAAGAATAGAAAACCTGCTGCCTCTCTCCTCCTCCCCCTTCTTCTCTTCTTTCCTTCTTTTGTGTAGTCCAGGCTGGCCTCAAAGTTGCTTTGTAGCCAAGGATGACTTTGCACTCCTGATTCTTCTGCTTTCACTGTCTGAGTGCCGGGATGATGGGGTATGCACCACCATTACATGGCTTCTACAGAGCTGGGGATGGAACCCAACACTAGTTTTTTTTTGTTTTTTGTTTTTGTTTTTTTTTCCAACAGGGTTTTTCTGTGTAGCCCTAGCTGTCCTGTAGACCAAGCTGGCCTTGAACTCGTAGAGATCCACCTGCCTCTGCCTCCCAAGTACTGGTATCAAAGGCATGCACCACCACTGCCTGGCAGAACCCAGGAATTATTACATGCTAGGAAAGCCCTGTATCTCTGAGCTACAGCCATAACCTTGTTTTTCTTCTTCTCTTCTGTTCTCTTTCCTTCCATTTCAGTGCTGGCTTGGAGCCCAGGCCTTTATACATGCTAAGCAAATACTACCAACTGAGCTATATCCCCAGTCCTTTACTTTTGCGAGGAGGGTAATAGAAATTTATTTATTTATTTTATATTTTATTTATTTATTATGTATATAACATTCTGCTTCCATGTATATCTGCACACCAGAAAAGGGCACCAGATCACATAACAGATGGTTGTGAGCCACCATGTAGTTGCTGGGAATTGAACTCGTGACCTCTGGAAGAGCAGTCAGTGCTCTTAACCTCTGAGCCATCTCTCCAGCCCCGGAAATTTATTTATTTAAAAATTGCAATTAAACATTTTTTTGCTATGTGTGATGGGCAAACATGTACCATGTTGTGCATATGGAGGTCACAGGACAGCTAGCATGAATTAGTTCTCTTTTCCCATCATGTGAGTCCTCATCATGGAATTCATGTTGTCAGTCTTGGTAGGAAGCACCTCTACTTGCCTTAAACAATTTATGCTCTATGGTTATTATTTTAAATATCTGTTTATTTTTATTTATGTATATAAGTGCTTTGTCTACATGTGTGTATGTGTACCATGTGTGTGCCTGCTGCTCTGGGAAGCCAGAAGATGATGTTGGATAACCTGAGATTGGAGTTATGGATGATTGTGAGCCACATTGTGGGTACTGGTAATCAAAGACTGGTCCTCTACAAGAGCAGTCAGTGCTCTTAACCAATGAGCCATCTCTCCAGCCCCTTATTTGTTATTAGTGGGAGGGGGCACTCGACAGAGGAGAACTTTGCACAGTTGATTCTCTCCTTCCACCTTTATGTGGGTCCTGCGATTGGAACTCAGGTTACCAGGAATGAACAGCAAGCACATGGCCATGTCACTGACCCTCTTCTTTCATCTAAGCTGTGTGTGTGTGTGTGTGTGTGTGTGTGTGTGTGTGTGTGTGTGTGTCTGTGTGGCTCATGAGGCCTCAACCCTAGACAAAGAACCACAGGCAGCTAACCATTACTGAGAGCAGGAGAAATAGCCTTCCCCAGGGAAGAACACACCAATTGGTTATTCAATACCTCATATTAAACCCTGAAAATATGCACATACTAGTGATGGTATAGACTGAGCAGGCCGTGTTTATATATTTAGAAGGGGAAAATGATTTTATAATCTCAATATCTAATATAAATAAATCTTAAGTTTTTAAAGCTATTTTTTGAAGCCAGACAGAGGACACATGTCTTTAATTCTAGCACTTGGGAGGCAAAGGCAGACAGGGCTGTAGAAGTTGAAGGCTAGTGTGTATGTAACTCTTTCTCTCTCTCTCTCTCTCTCTCTCTCTCTCTCTCTCTCTCTCTCTCTCTCTCCTTCCCTCTCTCCCTCCCTCCCTCCCTCTGTCTCTTAGTGCTGGGATTTAGCCCTGTGCTAAGCAAGTGCTCCTGAACTGGAGTGTAAAAGAACTCAGAGATGACCGGTTCAATCACACTCAGAAATGATTAAATGCTTTTGCAGAATGATTGGCCAACAAGAGGCCTGATGAGACCCCCTGCATCCTCGTGCTTGATATACCAGTCAAACTTGGTTTCTTGACCAAATGCAGAAGGGGAAAGATTAGATGGGCTTTCCTGGGCAGCCTTCCCTGAACCCTCCCCCCAAAGGATCTTAGATAGCCCAGGACATCCTCAAAATCAGCCATGTAGGGGCTGGTATGATGGCTTAGTGGGCAAAAGCCCTCACCATCACGCTTGATGACCTGAGTTTGATTCCTGAAATCTGCATGGTAGAAGGAGAGAACTAACTTCACAAAGTTATCCTCAGATGTATACTGGCTTGCGTGCATGTGTGAGCGCATACGAACACACACACACACACACACACACACACACACACACACACGAGAGAGAGAGAGAGAGAGAGAGAGAGAGAGAGAGAGAGAGAGAGAGATTTAAAAAATTTTAAACATCAGCTACATAGTCAAGACTGACCTTGAACTATTAATCTCCTTGCCCCAATCTCCCGAGCACTGAGATCACAGTCAAGTACCACCATGCTCAGTTTTACGTGGTCCTCATGAAACCTGGGGCCTCATGCTTGACAGGCAAGGACTCTACCAACTAAGCCACATCCCTGGCCCCAGAACTCAGTAATTTACTCTTTGCTTTAACCTGACACATTTATTGCCTCAGTGATGAGAGGAAGGTGGGAAGGCCTGACTGTCACAGTCCCCTCACCCTGGACTGTGCACAGCACTTTGTTCATAGGGCCGAACATGGTTCATTTCATACATACAAGGCAGCTGGGAGGTAGGTTCTGCAGCGAATCCTATTGGACACATTTAATGGAGACTTGGACAGCGATTCAACCCACAGGAGGCCAGCACCAGGCATGGGTTGAAACAGTGGTGATCGTCCACACACAGGGCCCTCACTGGGCTGGGCCACCGGCCTGAGCATTCTGGCCAGTGCAGCCAGGGGACTCAAATCTCTGAGTTGCAGGGGTTGGCTCCCTGGAAGGCAAGCAGGCAGGCTTGTGGCTGGGCAGTCAGATCTTCTCCACATAGTTTCCTGGGAAGAGCCCTTCCTGGCCATGCAGCCGGCCCTTCCACCAGCCGGAGTCATCTGTGGAAGAGAGGAGCTTGAGGTGTCCAGTGTACACCAGAGAAAGAGTGTGTGCTTACTTGGTATCTATCTTCTATTCACCTTGGATATTTTGTTTGCTTCGGAGACATGGTATTGTGTGGCTCTGGCTGTCTTCAAACAGGCAATGCATGGGGCTGGGGGGATGGCTTAATTAATAAATTACTACTTGTCATGCATGCGTGAGGACCTGAGTTTGGTTTCTCAGAACCCATGAAAGCCAGATGCAGTGATATACGACACATCTGTTATTCCAGCTCTGTGGTGAAACAGGATGTAGAGACGGGAGAATCCATGAAAACTCTTGGGTCTGTTAGCCTGGCATATACGGCAGCAAGCAACAAAAGACGCTGTCTCAAACAAGGTGGAAGGTCAGGACACTCTAAATTGTCCTCTGGCCTCTACATGCACACCATGACACATGTGCAGCTATAGTAAAACATAGGAGTGCACATATGTGTGCCCACACACATACACACAGATGCATACATACACATACTCACAGATACATACATTTACACACGGAGGCGTGTGTGCATGTGTGTACTATGTCGCTGAGGTTGTCCGTGGACTCCTTATCCTACTGCCCTGTCCTCTGAAGACTGACTATACGAGTGGGCAACCATACTCACTTTCGTTTTGTTTGGAGACTGGTTCTGTCTCCCTGAGTAGCCCAGCTTTATACTCTCCACCCTCCTTCCTCAGTCCCCGAGGAAGTATATGTATGTGCCACCACACATGGCTATTTGGATCTGGAGGTCGGGCGTGGGGGATAGAATCCAGGGTCTTGTCATGCTAGGCAAGTGTTCTACTTCGGAGTAGCTTATTGGCCAAGCCATATCCCGACTTCCCTCTTTCTCCCATCCTCTCCCTCATCCCTTCCTTGCATTGAGGATAGGATCCAGCACCTCATACGTGTGAGGCAAGTGTGTACCACTGCCCTTCACTCAGTCTCTGCCATTCTTTAGACAATTTGCTTGCAGCCCTCTATACAATGATGTCCTTCTAAAGATGCCTTCCTTCACAACCCCCAGGTGTAGCCAGGAATAGCCATGACATCCAGGAGGCCCCACCATCCACTTCCGGAGTGTGTGATGAGTCTACCGCCCTTCTGGGGTCATCCCAGAGGATGAAGGTAGGAACTGGGCAGACTCAGCTTCCTTCCTACTCACAAGGATTTGTAAAGTCAGCTTTATTTGTAAACTAAGGCTACAGCCTGGCATGGTGGTACTTCCCTGTCTCCTCAGCACACAGGAGGCTGAGGTAGGCTATCCCTAGTGAATTCAAAGGCAAGATAGCATGCCCTTGTCTCAAAACAAAATAAAATGATAAAGAGGCTTAGTCATGAGGTGTGATGAAAAGAGATCGCAGCCCTAGGTGCTTTAGGAAGGTGATGCTCAGAGACTAGGTTATCCAGACTGTGTAGCTCTGGTGAGGCTGTGAGCCAGACACCCCGTCTGCTTGTTTATTTATTTTTGGGAGTGTGCACCACTGCACTCAGCTTTAAGTTTTTTTTAAATTACCCTTTCTTTTTCCATTACATGTGTGCATGATATGTACCTCTCTACTGTATGTTTTTTGCATGTGTGTAGGTGCCCATGTATGTGGGTGCGTGTGCATGTGGAGACCCAACATCGTCACCCCCTTCTGCTCATCCACCCCATTCCCTGAGGCAGAGTCTCTCAGTCAGAACCAAAGCTCGATGACCTGGCTATGCTTGCTAGCTGGCTGGCTCTGGGGGTCGTGTCTGTCTTCAGAGCCTGAATTACAGATAGTCTGCCACACCCACCCAGCATTCTGCTGGTATCTGGGAATCAGTATTCTGGTCCTCAGGTTTCAAGGTAAGAGCTTTAATCACAGAGCCATCTCCCCAGTCTTGTGTGTGTGTGTGTGTGTGTGTGTGTGTGTGTGTGTGTGTATGTGTGTGTAGGTCAGAGGCCATTCTCTCTTCCACCATGTGAGTCCTGGGCATGGAACTCAGGTCGTTAGGTAAAGTGACAATGACCTTTACCTACTGGGCCATCTCACCAGGTCCTGGTTGTTACATGGATGGGAAGTCTATGCAGTAATGCATGGCTGCCTCATTGTGCCACGGTTCTGAACACTCCCCGCTCTCTACCCCAGGATACAAACCTTCCATGAGGATCTCAATGACTTCATTCACATTGAAGCTCAGCTCATCCACATCTTGGCCTATGTATTGGTACAGTGCCCGGCACCTTGGCACATGGATTCGAGGTTGGGGCTTGGGCCGGCCCACACCTGGCACAGGTCTCTGCCCTATGCTTCGCTTCCTTTGCATGCTGTAGGAGACAGCGTGGGTCTCATTACAGATACTCCTAGACATTCCTCTGACCACCTCCTGGGGCTGTGCCCTCCACCCCTCTCCACCTACCCTGCCACACCCTGGTCAGGCACATTGAGGAATTCTGTGTTGTGCTCTGAAGGTGGCTGTGCCCGGGGACGTCTGCTGGCTCCTAGGGTTGAGGATGGAGGGCCCCGGGGAGGCCTCTGGGCACTCCTTTCAGATGTGATCTCCAGGGGTAGGGGCCCCACCTGGGAAGAGGGTGGTACCCCATTTCGATTCATGCCTATGGTGGAAGCAAAGATAGAAATATGTGTCATGTGTGGCTGTGAACATTCGAGGAATTGGCTCTAAGTTCTGAGCTGACAGAAGATGAAGCCGCTCTCAACCCAGTATGGTCAGAACTATGTCTAAGGGCAGGAAGTAGTGACACATGCCTTTAACCCCAGCACCTGGGAAGGAAGAGGCAGGTAGATCTCTATGAGTTCCAGGACTACATATTGAGATCCTGTCTCAAAAAACGAAGACAGGAGCCAAGAGGTGGTGGCACACACCTTTAATCCCAGCACTTGGGAGGCAGAGACAGAGGCAAATTTCTGAGCCAGCCAGTCCCAGGACAGCTAGGGTAAGACACCCTATATCCAGAAACCAAAAAATAAAATCAAACCACCAAAAGAAATAAAAAGAAAAGGACAGAGTCTGAATGAGGGACCCTGGAGGTAGGAGCATCTATAGGGAAGCTTTACCAGGCACTGGTATAGGAGGGCTTTATGTATTATTGTTGTATGTGTGGGGCACATGCCGCAGCACCCACATAGAGGTCTGAGGCCAACTCTGTGGACTGGGCTGCCTCTTTCCAGCTTCACTTGGGCTCTAAGGATAGAACTCAGGCCTCCAGGCTATGCAACAAGAGCCTTTACTTGTTGAGGAATTGGTGGTTTCTTTCTGTCTTCCTTTTCCTTCTCCCCAACCTCCTCCTTTCTTCTTCCTCCCCCATATGCATTTTTCACTACTGAAGAGGCAGGAGCTCCCCCACCCCCCCCCCCCCCCCCCCCCCCGCGCTTCCCCCACCCCCCCACCCCCCTCTCTCTGACACAGGGTCTCTTGTAGACCAGTTTGGCCTCAAAGTCACTGTGCAGTCGACAGACCCAGATTTAGATGGCTTTTGCATGCTAAGCAAGCATTCTACCACTGGGGTATAATGGTGTGGGATGGTAGGAGAGGTCAGATCTTAAAGATATTCCCAGTTATTCTTCTGCATCTTGTGGTAGATGGGGGAGCTATTGTGAGTTGAGCCAATGTTGTTAGATTCTGAAGTTCATAAGAGGCAACGAAGTCACTAAGAATTATCACCTCACCTCTGGGGGTCCCAGGGGCTGCTCGAGTAGGGGCCTGCGCTGACCTTCGAGGTCTTCCCTGGGCTAACCCCTTCCGTGTAGGCTCTGAAAGAAGAAAGAAAACAGAGATAAAATTTGAGTGGCGGCCAGGGCAGACCATGTCTTTGGACCAGGTCCTCCAACATCCCTCCATACTGGCTCTGCAAGAGACCACACCTCTGCTCATGCTCATTGGTTCTCCCATGTTGCTGGTGGATTCTATCCTTTCTGACCCTACCCCTCACTCTCCCTACCCTTTGAGCTCCCACTTTAGGACATGCCCCATCATCGTTGACAGTTTAGGATTGCTTCTATGGCCACACCCCTTCACATTTCCTCCCTCTAACTGGCCATTTCTCTAAGGCAGGATATCTTCCTCTATACCTTGACCCTAGAGGTCTTGGTATCTCTAGACCAGCCTAGCTGGCTCCACCCCCACAAAGTTGATTGGTCTCTATTAACCACTCCCCAACAGGCCTTGCCCTCCGATGCCCACCTCTGGTTCCCAGGGACTTACTGGTGCTCTTAGGCAGTCCGTCCCCGATGCTGATAGTGAGAGTTCGGCCCCCAGCTTTGAGCACAGCCAGGTCACTTGTCCCGCGGGAGAAGGTGACATTGCGGGTACTGCCTCCGCCCCAGCCTTCCTTCTTCACCCGAAACTGTAGTCTAGGGGAGAGAAGGGACCTTGAGGGCGCCATTTGGGGTTCCTCTTCCACACCCAACCCGTGCCGGGGTCCCTGCGGTAGGTAGGGGATACTGAGCTTAGGCCGGGAATTGGTTGTGAGTGGAGGAGCATACGTGTCGCTAAAGGTGAGGGGCAGGGGCTTGTGCGCTGCCTCTTCAAAGCGCTTGCATAGAAGACTGACGAATTCGGTCTTGAAAATACTTTCCAAGAAGCTGTCGGCAGCCTCTTCTTGGAGGATGAAGAAGTCATCCTGTCTGGTGCTGGGGAAAGGACAGGAGAACGCCAAGTGAGGGTGCAGGAAAATCTGTAGGGTCCAATCTGTGAGGCTCAAATTGGGGTAAGGGAGAAGGAAGAGCCCGGGAAGGTGGTAATTGAGAAGAACCAGGGGTTAGATAGGAAGAGGGACAGAAATTGTCTCCATACAAAGATCATGAAAGTCGGGCGGGACCTGAGTTGCATTCCCCGAGGCCCACATGGTGGATGAATTTCCACTGGCCTCCACTCAATGTGCTATGCTGTGTGCCCCTCCCCCTAGATAAAAATGTATTTAAATAGCTCGTTGAAGGTCATGAAAGTAGGGGCAAGTGAACGTGGCAGGTAAGGGCAAGAGAGCCACAGGTGTAATAAATAGCACCTACAGTTACCACGGTAACAAGCAAGCAGTCAGCTGAGTAACCCAGCAGGTGGGTTATTACTACAGGGCAGGTGGGGACTTGGCCTTACCTGAGAGACACCCCTCGAAGGGCCTGGATCTCCAGTTTCTTCTTCAGGACTTCACGCACCATACCCTTCTCTGGTCCCTTTTTCACCTTCTCTCTCCCAATCACATACACACACTTGGGGGTCAAGATCAAGTCCCGTTTGATGGGCTGTGGAGAGGCAAGGCCAGAGGTTGATGGCTGGACTCCAGGGCCTAGGCAAGCTGACACCGGAGGATCAACTCTATACAAGGGTGGGGCTTGCAGGGAAGGTGACTAGGAAATCCCTCCAAGTGTGTGAGTGAGTTGCTAAATCATGTAAGAAATAGAATAAAAGTGAGGGTATATTGGTTAGAGATGCCTGGCCCAGTTGACAGGTACAAGATAGAAGAAACACCTGATAGAGGTGATCCCTGTGTGTGTGTTGTGGAATGCTGTCCTCTGGATATGACATGACTGTTGCCCTCTCTGCAGTCACATTTACCCTCAAGAGACTTGCACAAGATTGGGCCCATTGATTTTTGATGGTGGGTGAGGGAACTCATGAGGCCAGGGTCCTGAGTAGACAGTTAATGGTTGTTAGGAGGAAGGACTCATGCAGACCCATCCCTCCTTGATCTATAGGCAGTTAATGGTTTGTTAGAGAGAATGAGAGACATTTCCTCTGGTGGTGTAGTCAATTCTAAGTTGCCCATGGTTCTGTAAGTAACCAATCCTTCATCCACACTCCTGGAAATAACCTGAACTAAATTTATTGTGCCTCCAAGCTATCCTTGAATGAAATCATTTCTGCCTTGCTTTCATGTTTTCTGTTGTTGATTGTCCTATCTGGAGTGAAGAGACATTTGTTAGCCTCTCTAAGAAAAGTTCACCAAGCTGTATGCATGTGTATGGATTTGTGCTGGGGATAGAATCCTTCTTGCATGCTAAGCACACACATGCCCTCAGCTCAGTTTACGTACAGGTATGGATTGCTTGGGTGACTGCATACAAGTTACAGAGGTAGATAAGAGCACATGGCCTAAACCGTCTGATCATAGTGCGACACACTTGTAATCCTGGTGCTCAGGAGGCTAGCAAGTTCTAGGCCAGCTTTGGATCAAAAGAATAGAAAAGTCATGGTCATAAGTAAGGGGCATGTGTGTATATGAACCACATGAGTCCATGAGTTTGTATAGGAAGGCAGGTAAGTGTCGGAACATGGTCAAAAGAATGATGCCTGGTGAACAATGCCTTGGGGAACCATGAGAGAGGCTCCAGGAAAAAAAAAAAAAAGACTAAGGGCCTTTTACTTCAGGTGCATTTTGTTCTCTGGATTGTTCTTGGATGTGATTTGCTACCTCCTGTGACAAACACTTACATTAATTTATAGGACATGTTTATTGTTGGGTGTCAGAAGATAGCTCTAGAACCCAATCCTGTCAGTTTACCCTGACTCTGAATATGGCCTTCTGCCTTGCTTTCGTGTTTTACCAGATATAATCTATTGTATATGCCAGACAATTGTGGCTAAGTTGGTCTGTCCTGAGAGAGTTCTGGGAAAGGGCTGCTCTGATATTCATTTACATGTTTTTCTGATCATGCTTTTCTGAACTCAAATAACCTTCCTTGGATCATTACTTTCTCTGTTACACTCCTGTATAACTGAAACTGAAGTAAGGTTGTCTACAGCCTTAGACTCTAGTCCTCCGAATTCTTTCTGGTCCTTGGATCCCAGGTCCAGCAGACAAGATCTGCATGGGTCGGCCCAAAAGTCAACAATGATGGCTAGTTATATTTTGCTTTAACACTTATTTATTTTGTGTGTGTCTGTGTATGTGTGGATGTGTGCATGGCATAGCATGGAGGTCAGAGGACAATCTGTGGGTGTCAGTTCTCTCCTTCTACCAACTTAGTTCTAGGGCTTGAACTCAGGTCTCAGGATTGGCAGCAAGTATCTTTTTCTGCTGTGTTGTCTCACTGCTGGTTGGTTTTAGTTGTCAACTTGGCACAATTTAGATTCAAGGGATTCTCTAGGCTAGGTTGGCATGTTGGCACATCTGTGGGAAATTATCTTGGTTATATTAATGACGTGGGAAGACTATTTCATGGACTTTGCCTCAGGCTGAATAAAAAGGAGCAAGCCAGCTACTTGCACGCATGCTTCAGTTCACTGATTGCCGCTCTTGTTGTGGACATAACTAGCTGCTTAAGGTTCCTGCCTTGACTTCCCCATGCTGTTGGACTACAGTCTGGAATTCTAAGCCAAATAAATCCTTTCTTCCATAAGTTGCTTTTATCGGAGTATTTTTTTACTGATAAGACAGCAGGTGTGGTGGTTTGAAAGAAAATGGCCCCTAAAGGGAGTGGCACTATTAGGAGGTGTGGCCTAGTTGGAGTAGGTGTGGCCTTGTTGGAGGAAGTGTGTCACTATGGGGGTGGGCTTTGGGTTCTCATACGCTCTAACTACTCCCAGTGTCACAGACCATTTCCTGTTGCCTTCTGATCAAGATGTAGCCAGCGCCATGTCTGCCTGCACACCGATGCCACTATGCTCCCTGACATGATGATAATGGACTGAACCTCTGAACTGTAGGGGAGCTACCCCAACTAAATGTTTTCCTTAGAAGAGTTGCCATGGTCATGGTCTTTCACCAATTGAAACCCTAACTGAGACAGCAGGTGAAAGTATGTCCTATGGAAGTGGGTCATCCAGACACAGAGATGCACATGTCCTTGGTGGTGGTGTATGGGCCATGGACTACATGCCGTATACAGCTGTGCATGGCTATAGGGTTTTTCTAGATAAGGTTAATTGGTCATGATTTCTGGGACAGTCAGGCATGCACCTGTGAACAAGGCTCCCTTGGTCTGACGAGAGTGTTTATATGGACGGAGGCATCAAAGTCAAGTGAAAGTGTACCCAATGGACAGATGTGTCTAGGCCCGGTGAGGGAAGTGGTCCTGTGGAATGGGCTTCTGGGCAAGGAGGATATGTTTCAGTAGACAGATGTACCTGGAAAAATGAGCCTGTAGCTGATGGATAGGTGTGTCTGGGCTACACAAGGACAGGTTTGATAGACAGCTTTATTATTCCCAGCTGTGGGAGTATGGATGGGTGTGACCGTGCTACATGAAGCGTCTCTCCAACCCCGTGGGGTTTCACACAGCCCAGGCTGGCCTGGAACTCACCATATAGTAGAGGATAACCTTGAAATCCTGAACCCTCCAAGAGCTGGGATTATAGACATTTGCTGCCATGCCTTGTTTGTGAGTACTGGGGATAGAACCCAGGGTTCATGCTAAGCAAGTACTCTGCCAGCCTCATGAAGTCATGTTTGATGGACAGCAATATCTACCACAGTGGAGGATTTACTTGTGGATAGCTGTGTCTGAGCTAGGTGGGGGCATGTCTGTGAGGAGAGATGTCTGTGGACAGGCGCATCTGGGTCCTATGGGTGGTGTGCTTCTGGTATGGGTGCTAGGCAGAGGCACGGCCTCACTAGGCATGGGAACACCCACTCAGGTCTCACCTTGAAGCGGCGGTCGTACTTGATGATTGAGTCGGCGAAGTCCACTCGTTCCCTCTTGGCCAGGAACTGGCGCAACTCAGGCCGCTCCTCTAGTCCCAGATAGTCCCCGACAAAGTTGCGGTTGATGCTGTTTCGCCTGCGTTCCTTCTTGTTCAGTAGGATGTTGGAAGCTGTGAGGACACGTGTATTGCTGAAAGTCATGGCCTCTTTCCTTAATCCTCCTGCCCCCAGACTGAGCCTCCTAACAGAGGCTTCTCACCTTCTTCCCGCATCTCCTCATACTTTCGGACTGCTATGTGGCGCCGCCAAGCTTTCTGGATGGTGCGGGCAAAGCCGTCAAACTTCCTCTCTCGCATCTCTTCCAGGAGGAAAAGCTGGGCAGGAGGGAGGGGTGTTGGGTCCTGGCATCTCCCAAGTCCCTGCCTGCCCATGGATCCTCCCAGATAGCCTCACACTTGCTATGTAGCTGAGGCCAACCTCGAATTCCGGATGCTCCTGCCTCTATCTCTGAAGTTCTGGGAGGACAGGCGTGGACCGTCACATCTGGTTTAAGTTTTGCTGGGGTTACATACTCAGGATTTTGTGCTTGCTAGGAATGCGCTCTGTCAACTGAGTTACGCTCTCACCACTCAAAAAGTTTTTCACTTCCTCTTCATGACTGTACCCAGGAGTCCTTCCCGGTTTGGGACTCACACGCCTCCGTGTTAAGTTAGAACAGGAGTGGTGTGCTAGAGATACAGCACAGCAGTTAAAAGTACCTACTGCTCTTGCAAAAGAGCCAGGTTCAGTTCCCAGCACCCGTGTCAGGCAGTTCACAACCACCTGCAACTCCAGCAGCACGGGTGGGATCCAACATCCTCTTCTGGCCTCTGTGAGCATAGTACATGCATAGTAGTCTCTCTCTCTCTGTGTGTCTCTCTCTGTGTGTCTCTCTCTGTGTGTCTCTCTCTGTGTCTCTCTGTCTCTGTCTGTCTGTCTGTCTCTCTCTATCTCTCTCTCTCTCACACACACACATTCACACACCTACTTGGACATAGACTGATCTCTGTAAGTGCATTTCAGGGGGTGAGAAGGGTTCAAAATCATTAAGTTGTTTTTCTTTATATAACAGTCTTTCTACGGTCTTAACATTTTTCCCTTCCTTCCTTCCTTCCTTCCTTCCTTCCTTCCTTCCTACCTTCCCTCCTCCCTCCCTCCCTCCCTCCCTCCCTCCCTCTTTTCTTCCTTCCTTCTTTACTTTCTTTCTTTTCTCAAGACAGGGTTTCTCTGTGTAGCTATGGCTGTCCTGGAACTTACTCTGTAGACCAGGCCGACCTTGAATTTACAAGGATTTGCCTTTTTCTGCCTCCCAAGTGCTGGGATTAAGGTGTTTGCCACCACTTTTTTCTTTTTTTAAAAAATATTTTATTTATTTATTATGTATACAACATTCTGCTTCCATGTATATCTGCACACTAGAAGAGGGCACCAGATCTCATAACGATGGTTGTGAGCCACCATGTGGTTGCTGGGAATTGAACCCAGGACCTCTGGAAGAGCAGTCAGTGCTCTCAACCTCTGAGCCATCTCTCCAGCCCCACATTTTTCTTTTTTAAAGTTGCATTTATTTGTGTATGTGTGTCTGTTGTCTGTGTGTATGTGTGTGTCTCTGTGTGCACGTGTGTGTGTTGTGTGTGTGTGTGAGTCAGTATAGTGTGTATGTGGAGGTCAGAGGAGGACACACTTGTACAGTTGGTTTTCTCTGTCCACCTTTATTTATGTGAGGTCTGGGGACTGACCTGGAACTTTTTCTCTCACATGCATGCTTACCGATTCTGGGTTCTTAACAAAGACCTTGGTACTCCCCATCTGGTACTGGTCTGGCTCCATGTTGACAGCACGAAGCAGGTGCTGGACACCCTGGCGTTCATCTCCACGCCACCGTGGCCATGTCTCAGGGGTCAGAATGGCATACCTGGAGGCGGAAGGCACAAGGGTATGGGGGATTTGGCACAGCCTGTGGTTGGCCATTCAATAGGCCAGGCAGTCAAGGCGGGGGAGACGGGTGCCTCACCTCTGCAGGAACTTGGGGAACTGTCGACGGTAGGCAAAGCCTGCCCTTCGAACCCGGATGTTCTCCTTCAGGCCCAGGTATTCCACCTGGTGCTTCACCCTGTGGGCACGAGATGGCCTAAGTTTTAGAGAGTGAGAGCTACCCAGAGCAGACTAGGGGCATGGAGCCTGGATTTGTGGTAGGGGAATCTCATGGGCTGGCTGGTCTGCCTGTCTGTCTGTCTATTATCTATCCATCTATCTATCATCTATCCTTCTATCAATCCATCTATCCTTTTACTATCTATCAATCTACCCTTCTACCTATATCAATCAATCATAATTGTGACTATCTATCCATCCTATCTATATCTATCAATCTATCTTATATCTATCTTTCTATCATCTTTCACCTATCTGTACATCATCAATCTCTTTATAATCTATCTATATCTGTCATCTGACTATATATGATCTATCTATTGCCTACATATCTGTCTGTCTGTCTGTCTGTGGCTAGTGTCTCTCTTTGCAGCCTAGGTTTCCCTTGAATGTGTGATTTTTCAGCCTCTACCTCCCACGGCTGAGAATAAACATGTGAGCTGCCATGCCTAGCTTGGGTATGGCGCAGATGATGAGTTGTGAGGTGTGATGGGTTTCTCAGCTCAGTCTGAGAATCAAATCTTGGACTGAGACCTGAGGGGTAGGTCTGGGCTCATCCAGGAGGTTGTTTCTAGGATCAGCTCTGGAGTTTAGGTCTGAGAAATTGGGTTTGGATTCTTTCACAGTCAATCTGGAGTTACCTGGGGATTGGTTGGGGGTGCCTCCACAAGTTCTGTCTATAGCTCTGGGGCCACAGAAATTTTACATTTTTAAAGTTTGTTTTTATTGGTGTGTGTGTGTGTGTGTGTGTGTGTGTGTGTGTGTGTGTGTGTATGTGAACATGTCACTGTATGCATGTGGCAGAGGACATCTTGCTGCTGTTGGCTCATTCCTTCTACTGTGTGAAGCCCAGGATTGAACCCGGATCATCAGCTTTGGCAGCAAGTGCCTTTACCTGCTGAGATATCTCACTGATCCCCTAGAGGATTGTAAGGTGCTCTTAGAGTCCAGTCTGGATGGGCCCAAAGTTGGTGCTTTGTCTGTGGGTCAAATGTAAGTGGCTGGTTCAAGGGGTGCCTAGATCTGGTTCGGGATTGGAAGGGGTGATCATTTCACCTGTTCTCTTCCCAGTCCCGGGGCCGCTTGGTCTCATTGGGTTTGATGCAGCGGATGTAGTGGGGTGTGCACTTCTTAAGCGTGGACACCAGGTCATTGGCTTGTTTCTGAGGCAGAGGGAAAGGCAGGAGTGAGGAAGGTTTGAGGATGGGTCCCCTGCTCTCCCCATTCAAGAAACATACTCATCCAAGATGGGAGGAGGCTGACTGGGCAAGCCACAGGTGTTCATACCCCCTCAGCTCCCACTGTGAGGGCTGCTATTGTGCATCTACCCAGTTCTTAAACCCCAAACTTGGAGTTCTCGTGTCTGCCACACTTACCACATAGCCTAACACATAAGTGCTTAGGAGATCTTTGAGGATTGAGTAATAGAAAAACCAGAACAACTTACTGCCCAGACTTCCTCCTGTCTTCAAGGGGACACTGACTTTGGGAATGAGGAACTTGCGAGTGGGGGTGGGGGTGTCAGCCTTGGGCTCTTGGGTAATGCATTGCAGTCATTTGGGGAAAGCTGTGGGGCCAAGTGGGAAGACTAGGGAAGTGACATGAGACATGCAGGTTGAAGCTCTGCTGTGTGACCTGTGGCTGACCCTTTCTGATCCATGGCCTCTCCATCTGCCTAGTAGGACTGAGCCAATTTTTTGTACGTGTGAGGATTCTGCATCTGCTACAAAGTTCTCAACAAACAATTGTGAATGTGGGCTTAGGATGGGACCCCATGCTCACTGCAGCATTATTAAACCCTCAGCAGAAGGTGGACGCAGCCCTTCTGCACAGTGAATGAAAAATGAATGTAACATGGTACAACCACACAGTGGGATATTTTGAAGCCCTAAGAAGGAAGGACTTGCTGGGCGTTGGTGGCGCACGCCTTTAATCCCAGCACTCGAGAGGCAGAGGCAGGCGGATCTCTGTGAGTTCGAGGCCAGCCTGGTCTCCAGACCAAGTGCCAGGATAGGCTCCAAAGCTACACAGAGAAACTGTCTCGAAAAACCAAAAAAAAAAAAAAAAAAAAAAAAAAAAAAAGAAGGAAGGACATTCTGACACAAACTCCAGCATGGACGGGCCCTGAGGACATCATGTGAATGATGTTAGCCAGACACATTCTAGGTGATGCCACTCACAAGAGGTGCTTAGAACTACCAGATCTTTCTGGATAGAAACTAGGATGCTGGAAGCCAGGGGCTGGGGAGTTAGTTGTGAATGTGGACAGAGTTTGAATTTGGAAAGATGAGAAGGTTTGGAGGTGGCTGGTGGGGATGGCTGTGAACATAGCCAATCTCACTTAAAATGGGTAAGATAACCCATTCTAGAATATGTGTATATATATGTATATGCATACATATATATTTATTTATTTGTAATACACCTTTTAAAAGAAGTAATTTGGAAAGTGTAACCCAAGGATAGCATGTGCAAGACCTTGGGTTCTGTCCCCAAGTACAGGAAGGAAGGGAGAGAAGGAGGGAGGGAGGGACAGAAAGAGGGAAAGGAGGGAGGAACAAGCTTCAGAGGAGGATGGGGAGGGGAAGGTGGAAGGAAGGGGAGAGGGATGGAGGGGAGAAGGGAGGAAGGGAGGACAGAGAAAGGGGGAAGAGGTGGGAAGTGAAGGAAAGAGGGAGAGGAGGGACAGAGACAGAGAGGGAAATGGAGAGAAGGAAGAAAAGGAAGGAAAGACAGATGGACCAAACTTTGGCCCATCTTCCTTCCTAAATCCAGAGCTGAAGGAAGACCCTATAGGCCAAAGGGTGCCACAGACATTGCGAACCTAAATGTAGGGAACAGACAGGCATTGGAACAAGGAGAGAAAGAGTTTGGGCAGGTGGAACTTGCCTCTCCTGTCCCCTCCCTGTCATCAGGCCTACCTTGATCTTGGAGCCAGCAGTACTGGGACGGCCCTTCTTGTCTATATCCACCTTCTCAGGAAAGAGCATCCGTAGGAAGGCTCTAGGCATGAGAGAGGAGTGGATGGTAATGCAGACAGACCCTGGGGCATCCTATGTCTTCCCTCAGACTTGTAGGGGCCCGCCCCAGTGCCAAGATGCAAATAGGGTTCTCTCTGACTGTGGGCAGGGGCTGTGAGGTTGGCACTGCCTCTCACATCTCTGGATTTATCTGCACTTTTTAGTCTTACTCCATGGTGATAGCAAGTCACACAGTAAGTTAAATACAATAGAAACATGTGCAAACTGTGAGGGTATACACCTGTCATCCCAGCACTCAGTAGGTGGAGGCAGGAGAAGTTCAAGTTCATTCTCAGCAGCTATATAGTGGGTTCAAGGCCAGATTGGGCTATATGAGACTTTGTGTGTGTGTGTGTGTGTGTGTGTGTGAGAGAGAGAGAGAGAGAGAGAGAGAGAGAGAGGGAGAGAGAGAGGGAGACAGAGACAGAGACAGAGACAGAGTCTTTCTACATGCCCCTGGCTGTTCTTTGTCCTGGAATTCACGATGTAGACCAGTCTGGCCTTGCAACTCACAGAGATCTGCTTGCTTTTGCTCCCAAGTGCTGGGATTAAAAGCCATGCAAGCATGCAAGCATGAGAGAGAACCCTGTCTTAAAACAACAACAAACAAGGGCCTGGGGTGCGGCTTAGTTGGTATGTGGTTGCCTTGCATGAACATAGCCCTGGTTGGTTCTGTCTTCAGCATCATATATGCCAAGCATAGCCATCATGCCAATAGTATTGCAGCTGAACAATCAGAAGTTCAAGGTCACCCTTTAGTTACATAGTGAGTCGGAGGTCAGCCTAGGTGTTGGGATGATGGGTGATCACATCTGGTTTCTGTGGCACTGGGGATGGGATCAAGGGCTTCCTGTATATTTGGCAAGAAATATACCAGCTGAGCTACACTTCAAGCCCCTCTCCCTTTGAGGCAGAGTCCCGTGGAGCCCAGGATGGCCCTGAACTCACCTCCTGCCTCCACCTCCTGAGTGCACAGCCGTGTCTATTTTATACAGTACTGCGGAGGCAATCCAGGGCTTGCCTAGAATACCAACTGAGCTGTGTTGCCAGCCCTATAATGTGTTTTCACTTTGCTTAGAGGGCAACTATCCAATCACTGGACTGTCGGGATTGCAGGGAGGCACTATGGATGAGACGTGAAGGTAGCTGAACTCAGGGGCTTCCCCTGGAGAGGGACCCAGAGTCAGCAGATCAGGGTTTGAGAGCTGCTTTTCTTTTCTTTTCTTTTTCTTTTTCTGACCTAGAACTGGAATCCAAGCCCCCACACTCTAGGGGGCACGCATGACTGAGTCTTCAGTGTTTTAGATCAGAGCCTTGTCTTGGCCACACAACCGTTGTCACAAAGTCCATAGCACAACCAAATTCTGGGGAAGACACAGTAGTTCCCCAGCCTCTATTCCTCTGGGGGTTCTTCCCAGAGGATGCACAGGACAACTCACTGGTCACTGGACTGCATCAGTTCTATAAGGTCGGAGAACAGTACATCTCGATTCCTCTCACAGAAGCCACTGACATCATAGGAGACCTGGAGGGAGACAGTGTTGAGGGTCAGTGAGGAGCAAAGAGTTTCATGTGTGGCTGTCAGGGCAGGCGGCCTGCTCAGAGCTCAGAGGAGTCGGGTTACATGCAGTTAGAAGAAATCTGTGATTCCAAATGGTGGGTTGTGATCTATTGTTTGGGGCTTGGATCCCCAGAAGCCTGATGTTCAGCTGAAGCTGGAAGAAGAAGGCTGAGGCTGGAGAGAAGTCCAGGTTGAGAGTCAGGGCTGAAGGTTTGATCAATAGCAGGGAAAGGTGGGAAGTTATAGGCCAAACTCAAGGGCAGGGGATTGAAGCTAGGACAGGTCCCTGGGATTAGGCTGGGTATCTGTCCTAGCAAATGTGGAGTCCTGAAGTAGATGTTGGCTGTCTTCTGTCAACTTTTATATTGAGCGCTGTGGTGTGTGTGCCAGCATAGAAGAACCGTGGTGACCTGTTGTCTCAATTGGGTTCCATCTGTCATGTCTGTTGGGAACTGCCTTGTTAATTGGGTAAACTGATTAGAGGCCAGTGTTTGTCTGCAGCTCTGGCTGAGGGGGACACAAGGCAGGTGTCCCGGCGATTTTTGGGGAAAGTCCCTGGCTCTGGTCAGCAGAGGGCGCTCTGGAGGAGGAACTTAGTCAGAGGTTTAGGATTTGCAACTTGGACCCCCTGGAATATTTGAAGGGGCTCCCACCCGGAAGGGAGTTCCACGCACTTTGCCTGCATAGTGATGGATGACGAAACCTGCGCTCCAGCTGTTGAAGTGCTCGTGGGTGCCCACTGCAGCTTGCAGCTTTTGCAGCAGCGTCTGGGCCGCGCCGCCGCCGGTGGCGTGCATTGTGGCGCATACGTCGTCTAGCACGCTCATGATGCCTGGGGGGTTCTGAGGGGAGCAGAAGTCCCTGAGTGAGCTGGGGGGCTGGTAGGGGACTCCTAAATATAAGCTTAAATTGTGATCTTTCCTCTTTCTCATTCCCTTTCCTCTGCCCTCCCCCGTCTTTACTCTCCTCTTCTCCCCCTCCTGGAGTGCAGGGAATCCATGCCCTTTTCCCTTCCCCACACTGTTGTCACTTGGAGGGATCTCCGTGACTCTGAAAATGTTACGTATGGTAATGTTTGCTGGGTGAATAAAAGAACAGGGAGCAGGTGGGCAGAAGAATCATTGGATGAGGTGGCTGGAAGATATTTCAGGTATGGGCCTCCTAGGATATCATAAACCCTTTCCAGACACACTGATTTAGCTCTGGAGCCCGGTGAGATTGCCCCCACCCCCTAAAAGTCTGTTCAGTTCTCACCAGCTTGTTTTCGATGAGGTCACACACGATTTTGTTGTTGAAGTATTCGATGGGAGTCCAGCGGATGCCCTCCTGCACGTACTCCTCCTGGGAGTGGGGGATAAGGCAGTGTGGCACCCGATCCGCTCCCTCCTTCACCATCTCATCACTCATCCTCTGGAGGATATCCCTGCCTCGGGTCCCCACCTACCTATAGCCTTCAAGAGTTGTCAATAAATAGCCCAGCGCCCTCATTCCTTTCCTAGACCAACTCTGTGGTGTTCTGTGACACCTCTGGGGCTCAGCAGAATCAGGGAACAGCTGCAAACATAGACTTCTCAGGAAGACCCTATTTGGGCTTTGGGCTCTTCTATCTATCTATCTATCTATCTATCTATCTATCTATCTATCTGAGATGGGTCTCATCTTCATTCAGGCTGCTCCTGAACTTAATATATAGCCAAGGATGACCTTGGACTCTTCTTGCCCCCACCTCTGGGTGCTGGGATAACAACTGTGCGCCATCACAGCTGGTTTATGCGGTTCTGGGGATGGCACCCAGGGCTTTGTGTGTGGGAGGCAAACCATTCTACCCACCCAGCTACATCCCCAGCCTGGGATCTTTTAAAATTAATTTTAAATCACCTTTTCATTGCCCCTTCTTTGTCCCTGAACCCTTGCCTTGTGCTCTGCATTTAAGAGAGAGGCATCATCAAAGCGGATTTGTTTTATTTTTCAGATGCTGGGGTTGCAACCCAGCAAGCCAGGCTGTTCTACCACTGATTTATACACTCAAGAGTCCTTGGCAGAGAGTTCTGTGCTGTCCCTAGTTCCTCTACCCATGTTTCAAATAGTACCTGGCACAAAGCAGCTGCTCAAACAACTGTCTTTTTTCTTTTTCTTCTTCCTTCCTTCCTTCCTTCCTTCCTTCCTTCCTTCCTTCCTTCCTTCCTTCCTTCTTTCCTCTCTCCCCCTCTCTCCTTCCTTCCCCCTCCCCTCTCTCTTTCTATTTCTCTTATTTTGAGACAGGGTCTCTCTATGTAGTCCTGGCTGTCTTAGAACTCTTGATGTAGACTGCAGAGACAGTCCTGCCTCTGCCTCGGCCTTGTGAGTGTTGGGATTAAAAGTGTCCATTACTACACCCTGCTCTATTTTCTTTTTTAAGATGGGGTCTCACTAGACATCCCTGCATCAGCCCCGCCCCGGTGCTGGAATGACAGTCATGCAACTCCATGCCCAGTTTATCCAGCTCGGGATAGCTTCATGCATCTAGGCAAATGTTCTCCACCAACTGAGCAACATCCTCAACCTCCCTTTTCTCTTTATAAATTGATTATGTCTGGTATTTTGTTATAGTAACAGGGAGCTTGTGTGTGGGGTCCCAAGTAGCTTAGGGACCCTTATTTGACTGCCCTACTCACCTGCTCTGCCTTCAGGGTGAGCTCAATAAAAATCTGTTGCAGCTTTTCATTGACGAAGTTGATGCAGAACTGCTCAAAGCCATTTTTCTGCCAAGGAAAGAAAAGGGCGTTTCATTAGTGGACAATGCTGGAATCTTTGGCAAATACTGGGTGAGCACAGGATGACAGGAGTCAGAATAGGGTTGGGCTGAGGATGGCAGTAAGGGGGGAGGGCATCCTGGGCCAAACCTGGAAGATCTCAAAGCCATAGATGTCAAGGACACCAATGCTGTATTCCTCTTGAGGCTTCTGCATAGCACGGTTGATGGCCTATGGGCAGATGGAAACCGGGCCTGTGGGCATGTGGCCAAACCCATGCCACTCATCACCACCCAGGTATGTTTCGAAACTGCTTTTTTTCCTTGTGTGTGTGTGTGTGTGTGTGTGTGTGTGTGCACTCATGTGTACATTTGTCATGTCAGACACAGAACCCAGGACCTTATGAATTTTATCACTGAACAACACCTTCCATCTTTATGGGAATTTAAAAAAAATATGCATACGTACTGGGGAGGAGGCTTGTTATATAATTTTGTATGAGTTTGTGTTTGTGCATAGGTGTGTGTGTGTGTGTGTGTGTGTGTGTGTGTGTGTGTGTGTTTGCTTAGGTGTCTCTATACATACAGTTGTGTGCATGTGGAGGCCAGAGAGCAACCTTGGCTGCTGCTCCTCCAGTATTGTTTATCTTGGGTTTTGTTTATAGCTTTTTATTTGATGCAGGCTCTCTGTGTGGTCTGAAACTCTCCAGATGAGTGAAGTTGGCCAACAGGGACCTGCCTCTCCCTGCCTCCACAGCTCTGGGATTATAAGTGTACCATGCCTGGCTTAACAGTTTTTAAAATTACATTTATTTATTAGTGTGTGTATGTGATAATGTGCATGAGGAGAGAGGAAGACAATTTAAGGGAGTCTGTTCTCCCTGTTCACCATGTGGGTTCTGGGATTCAAACTGAGGTCCTTAGCGTTGGTAAGACACTCCTTTATACACTGAGCCATCTCACCAGCTTCATGCCTGGCTTTTTTAAAAATGGAGGTGCTGGGCTGGCAAGATGGCTCAGTGGGTAAAGATGCTTGATGACAGCCAGATGGATGGTGTGAGTTTGATCTCAGGGACTCATGGTGGAAGGAAAGAACCAAGTCCTTCAGGTTAACCTCCAACATCTACACACATGTTGCAGCATGCATGCACACATGCATACAAAGTAAATAAACAAATGTACTAAATTTAAATGTAGGTTCTTGTGATGGAGCTCATATGCTCATGCTTGCAAAGCAACCAGTTCATCAACAGAGGTCTCTCCTTAGCCCCTACTTAAAAATAAATGTCAGGCATGATGGTGTATCCCTTTAATCCCAGCACTCAGGAGATAGAAGCACCAATCTCTGTGAGTTTGAGGCCATCCAGGTCTTCCTGGCTGGGCTACGTAATAAGATCCTGTCTCAAAATAAATAAATAAATGAAAAACAAAACAAAACAAAACAAAACAAAACAAAACCCTATAGGTCATTCTATGTGGCCCAAAGTGGCCTTGAACTTATAGTCTTCCTGCCTCAGGCTCCTGAGTGCTGGGATCACAGGTGTGCGTCACCATGTCTGGCTCCTCTGTTATATGTTTGTTAGTATTGTGGTTATCACTGGCCTTGACATGTAATGTTCCCTCCAACTCACCTCACCCAACCCCATACCTATCCCTTTGTTTCCTTTACAACCATCTTAGCTCTGAAATGTACCCACCTCTCTCTATAGCCATCAATGTGATGGGACCTGGCGGGCTTCAACAGTCCCTTCATTTGCAAGTTGTCCAAGCTGAAAGCTGCACTTTACCCCCTCAGGAACTGGTGAGATGGACAAGTCAAGCCTGTCTTCCCACTTGTCTGTTCAAATGCCATGGGCTTGTTAGGCACTAGGCATCCAACAGACTTTCCAGCACTGGTCCCACTCACCTCCACCAGGAAGTCGAAGAGGCGGGCATAGAGTCCCTTGGCCAGTGCGTCGCGAGTGTAGGCTGCCTGTTCCACATTGAGGGTCACGTCAATGGACTCACTGCGCCCACCCCATTTGCTGTCCATCTTACGGCTGGTCAGCTTCTCTTGCAGCCGCCCACTGTCTATGCCCAGCAGGTAGGCTGGGAAGGCCAAGACTGCCAGGCCAGAGCAAAAGGAAGCAGCTGGTCAGGCTCTTGGGATAAAGGAGCTTCCCCAGTGACACTAACATGGTTCTCTTGTGAACCTAAGTGGGAAGAAGCAGTCCGAATGCAGGAGCCTGCCACCCGATTCTCAATGGCACCCACACTCACGGTCTGCGCTCTCCACACGGGCATAGTTTCCTTCTTCACAGAAGCTGATGTTCCCCAGGTGCAAGATCCCTGCCACAAGCTGCAAGACAAGCTGCTGCACGTTGGTCGGAATCCCAATGACTTGCATGGCATTCTGTGGACACAACAGGGACAGCTTATGCAACCTACTTTGGTTTCCACCTTGACCACAGAAATTAGACTCCTGGGTTCAAAGCATGGTCTCAGGGAGATAAGATGTTTGGATCTCTGATTTTGCTTTGCGTGTGGGCTCAGCATGTATGTGAGTGGAGGCCAGAGGTCAACCTTGGGTGTCATTCCTCAGGTACCCTCTACCTTGTTTTTCTCATTGGACTGGAACTTGGCAAATAGGTGGGGCTGCCTGGTGAGCCCCAGTAATCTTGCCTTTGCCCTGACACCCCAGTAATCTTGCCTTTGCCCTGACAGTATTTGGGTTACAAGCTGGTGCCATCATGCCTAGGACTTTGATTTTCTTAATGAAGGCTGGGGATTGAACTTGCATGGCAACTTACTTTACTGACTAAAACATCTCTCCAACCACCTGATTTGTTGTGTGTGTGTGTGTGTGTGTGTGTGTGTGTGTGTGTGTGTGTGTGTTTGGCAGGTGTGCATGTGTATTGCTACACATGTATGTGTGTGTGGTGTGTGTGTGTATGTGTGTCTGGCAGGTGTGCATGTGTATTGGTACACATGTATGTGTGTGTATGTGTTTGTGTGTGTGTTTGGCAGGTATGCATGTGTATTGGTACATACATGTGTGTGTGTGTCTGACAGGTGTGCATGTGTATTGGTACACGTGTGTATGTGTGTGTGTGTGTGTGTGTGTGTGTGTGGCAGGTCTACATGTGTATTGGTCCATACACATGTATGTGTAAATGCAAGTGTACCTGGGGGATGGAGGTTTACACTGGGTGTATTACTCTATTGTTCTCCAAGTTTAAAAAGTGTGAGTGTGTGAATTCATGTATGTGCCACAGCCTGTCTGGGGGGTAGAGGGCAACCTATGGTTGTCTATCCTCATTTTTCCACTCAGTTTGAGACACCCACATTGTTGCTGAATAAGTGAGGCTAGCTGGCTCATGAGCTGCTGGACATTCTCCCATCTCACCCTTCCATTCTCCACAGAAGCACTGGGCTTACACATGCTTGTAGTCCAGTTTTTATTTTTGTTTTTTGAGACAGGGTTTCTGTGTAGCTTTGGAGCCTGTCCTGGAAGTCGCTCTGTAGACCAGGCTGGGTTCGAACTCACAGAGATCTGCCTGCTTCTGCCTCCTGAGTGCTGGGACTAAAGGTGTGCGCCACCACTGCCCGTCATGATCTGCCCTTTTTGTCCAGTTGCTGTATAACTTCGGATACATGCCTGCATCTTTCTATGTCTCCTCATTTCTGTTTCCTCATTTTAACACGAAAAGGTTCTCCGGGGCAGCCAGAGTGGTTGTTGGTGCTTACCAGGGTCTCGCTGAAGTCACTCCGGTCATCGGTGCCCTCCACCTTGTAGGTGTCTGATTGGTTGAGGTAGTAATAGTAGTCTGGTGTCATGAGTCCGAGGTTCTGCTGCTGCTCCTGGGAGGCCCCTTCCAGAAGCTGGAGGGCATCAGAAGGTCATGCATCTGGAGCGGGCCTGGCACAGCCATTGTGGTTGCCCCACCCTCCCACACACTGCCCTTCCCACGTTTTCTTTCCTCCATTCCTGGGATCCAGATGTGTCTCCCTTTGCATCCAGCCCACAGCCCCTTGTCTGCACCTGGTAGTAGATATGGAAGTTCCTCTCATTCTCATTCTGCATCACCACTCGGGACTTCTCCAGCAGAAAGTTGGAGATCTTGCCTCCATCCGGTTCCCCGCCTCGGCTGAACTGGATCTCAAAGTACTTGCCCTGAATTCCAGAGAACCGCATTAGCCCATCCCAGGGTCCCAGGATTATAGATGGGGCAAGGACCACCACTTCATGAGCCTGACCTCTTCCCCTCTTCCTCTTGTGACCTGAACTTGTCTCAACTAACTTATTTTTCCCCATTTCCTAGTTTTTCTCTTTTTTAAATTAATTTATTTTTTACATTTTAATCCCAGTTCCCTCTCCCTCCTTCCCTTCCATTCCTTCTACTCCCCCCTCCTCCCATCTGCTCCACGGAGAGGGTAAGGCCTCCCATAGGAAGTCTATTAAGACTCACTTATTTTTAAATTATAGTGTGTGTGTGTGTGTGTGTGTGTGTGTGTGTGTGTGTGTGTGTGTGTAGTGTGTGTGTGTGTGCCAAGGCTGGACACATGGTAGTCTGAGGACAATTTGTGGGAGTTGGTTCTTTACCATGTAGGTCCCGTGGATTGAACTTAAGTCCTCAGGCGTGGTGGTGAGTGTCTACTGAGCCATTTTGCTGACCGCCACCCACTTATTGACAAAGCTTGTTCTTTTCACCAGCATCTTCCTCTAGACTACTCAGGCGGTGTGGGACCAGGCATCCCTAACACATCCATCTCCTGTGGTACTCTAGACCCCTGCTAATTGCACTCAGCTCTGTGCTCACCTCAAGTCTCCCCACCACATTTCGGAGGTTTCTGTGTCTCTTTTTTGTGTACATACATGGGTGTGTGTATACATGTCTTGCGTAGGTGAAGGTCAGAGGTTAACGTTGGGTGTCTTTCTCAACTGCTGCCACCTTATACATGGAGGAAAGAACTCTCGAACCCAGGGCTTGCTGGTTTGACTAGTTTTAGCTAACCACTTTGCTCCAGGAATCCCCTGCCTCCACTCCTCATGTGCTGGGAATCTGAACTCTGGTCCCCACACTCTTAAATGCTGAGGCATCATTCCAGCTCTTCCACTCCATTTTTTGAGACATGCTCTTTCAATGAAGCTGTCTAGACTGGAAAGTCAGTGTGCATCTGGATCCTCCTGTCTGCCTCCTAGTGTGGGAATTAAAGGTGTGAGCTAGCAGAGCCAGCTTTTACATGGATGCTGGGGATTAAATTCAAATCTTGCTTGGGTGGCTCCAGGTTCACTGAGAGACCTCGTCTCAAAAAATAAGACAGAGAGACTGTAGCTATAGTTCAGGAGTTAAGAGCACTGACTTCTCTTTCAGAGATTCTGGGTTCTATGCCCAGCACCCACATGTCTGCTCACAACCAACTGTTATTCCCATGTCAGGGGTTCCAATGCCCTCTTCTGTCCTCCAAGGGCACTATACACTCATGTAGTACACAGACATACATTCAAAATCTCACATACACAAATTAAAAAAAAATAGCAAGGCGGTGAACTATTGAGGAAGACGCCCAATGTCAACCACTTGCATGTGCACAAATGTGCATGTGCCTGCATGTGCGAGCACTACATGTGCACCTACACATGCATGTACCCACACAGGGAAAGAAACATAGGGCCTAGTAAGATGGCTCAGTGAGTAAAGCACT